TTATGCATTTATGTATTTTGTGATCGCCTAAATTTATACTATGTTTTCATATTTCCATGCTCATGAAATGAGGAGGCAAAGGTTCTGAGAGTTCAAAGATGTGTAGTGATGTGCCTCAGTGGAGGAAGGCTTCCCAAACACCGGATGAACTGCTGTGTATTACAAAGAGCAATGCAAAGAATTTCTGAACATACTTTATGTGACACATGTGCTCATAGACGATGTTTGGGAGAACAGCCATAGAGGTTTGAATTTTGAGAAAAATGAAGCAGATATAAATGTGTCATCAAGGGCAGGGTAAAGAGTGTTTGCTAAGGACAAATTCCAGAAAGGGTTGCCTGTTAAATTCTCATTGAAAAATGCCTAAATGTAGTCATTTGCATGAACATATACACGTGATATCCTTCTGAATGGAAAGGAATATGGGTGTCATCTCTGAATTAAGAGGTGATTTAATAGCTTGGTTGATCATATACATTGTTGAAATATGGAAAGGCTCTGCAATGGACTTTACTAAGTGGTTAAACGAGATGCCATAGATTAAAATTGTGCAGGGATATCAATAGTTTAGTCATGAAGGGTTTTCTGCTTAGGGTGGATCAGAGGAGCATGGAAAGGATGTGGAAGTGACTGGCAGGACGCATTGTGCCAATAGCAGGACATAAAACAGAGAGTATTGAAAGTCAGGTAGTTCTTACGGTAAGCATGAAGAAAAAGTTGGCTTATGGTTTCTTCCTTGAGGTGAAAAACACCCACTCTGGTAAGAATCAGTATTCCACATCCTTGTGAACCCATGAATTCTGTGTTCTTCACTTGAGATCTAATTTTGATTATCTCTAATTATGACCCAGTGTCATGAAGGTGAAATTTGAAATTTTTTTTGTAACAGCGATCGAACTCATGATCTCAAGCTTGATAGATAGGTGTTCATGCTGCTGAGCTAAATACCCAGCTCTGAAAGTGTTTTCTATATACTATGTATGATATCAACATTGTTCCTCAGAAAATGTTGAATATTGTGGAATTTTAAAATATTGTATAGATATAGATTTTAAAGCAAACCAAAGGTGTTGTGTGCAGTCACTTTTCAAGTTTCACATTGTCTGTGGGGTGGCTCAGTCAGGGTTTCTATAGTTGAGACAGCTCTGGAACTTAGGCTAGCCCCAAACTCAAGGAAGTTCTCCTGCATCAGCCTCCCAAGACATATTTCCTATATCTGAATGGAGAGTGATCACTTGACACTGAGCTATAATTTGAAACTTATACCTGGTTTCATTTTTTATACATTTTTTACATACAGCAGTTTTCCATGAATATTTGAGTTATTATTTATGTATCATATTTGATGTTATTTATGTTTTGTTCTATGAAGCCAACTTAAAATATCAAAATGCTGCTTAAGTATATTAAGAACAAAGGACTCAGTGGCCTAAATGAGATTTGAAGAGATATCATTGTTAGTACATCAAAGTGATTCATGAGATATTTGTCCACCTCTGTGCTTTATGGATGCTGGTCCTGCAGGCTCTCACTATGAGCTCTGCTGTAGAGACAGTGCACAGCGACTCTTTCAGTGACTCAGCATAAGAATCAGTGCTCCTATTTAGCTGTTACATTAGCTGTGAGTTGCAATAGAGCATTAAATTTGCTGTCTCAAAAAATGTGTGTATACCAAAAATTAATCCCCAAGATATGTAATTAAGACTTGAAGAAATCAGTCTCTATTCAGCTGTTTTTTGGTTTTATTTGTTTAGTTTAGTTTTGTTTTATTGAGACAAGTTTTCTCTATGTATATCAGCTAGTTTGAACCCTTTATGGAGAGCAGAATTGCCCCAACCTCAAAGCAACACTCCTTTCTCAGCGTCTTAAGTGTGAGATTATAGATATGTGTCTTTTTACCTAGAAAATATTGAGGCTTGTAACTTAGCTGTGTTGTAGCTTGCCATACTAGATGCCATCTTGAGCTTTACATTTAACTAGTGCCCTGTATTTCACTCAGAAAAATGGAAAATCACACAGGGTATAAGTCCCAGGGAAAAGCAAAATGAGCTGTGCCCAAAGAAAAAAATTAACCTGCTCAACAAAAGAAGCAGAATACAGTTGTCATCCAAAAATTAGTATAAGATTCTAGCTAAATAATTTCCAACAGGATCTTTTTGTGATTTTATCTTTTAAAACATCTCTAACTTTCCAGTTCAGAGCATCTTCTTTAGATACTGAAATGGTGGTAGGGGTTCTGTATACAAGTGTTCCTGAGACCTGCTAATGAAATTCCACATTTCTCAATTGGGTTGCTTGGTTTCCTATATTATTGTTCACAAACTCAACTCAAGCTGCAGAAACCTTACTGACACAAGCAAACACCAGGATTAAATGACAGTGGCACTGAAATGAAAGAATAGTAGTGAAAAGGAGAAGAGAAAAAAAGACAAATGCCATGTGCTATAATGCCCACCTCTTTTCCCCAGCAATGAAGAAGCTCAAACTGGAGAATGGCCATGTATTCAAAGACACCTAACCTACATAGTGAGTGCCAGGCTGGCCAGAACTCCAAAGAGAGACTATGTCTTTAAATGAAAAATTAAACAACCAAGGAGACAGAAAAAGTATTTTAAAAAAACAATAATAGAGCTGAGTGAAAGTTGACTTATGTAAAATGAGAATTATTGAATGATGCTGCAGAGGAAAGAAGGCCATGTACAGGTATCCAGGAGACAGTGACAAACACAGACTTAGGAATGGCACCTATTGTGCTACAGGACAGCAGTGACCTCCTTCCACCAATATATTTTCAGTTCACTAGACTGAGGACTTCTAAAAGCTCATGGAAATGTGAAACTCATGGCAAACAAGCAGCTTGAAATGCATACTTTGGAACATGGCCTTTAGCAGACATTTCATATTTAAGTTGAAATAAGAGAAATATAGTACTGCCCTGATTGATGTCAAATGCACCAAGATTAATGGCTCACAACATTGAGAAATGAAGTCACAAACAAAAGAAGATCAAAAATTTTCTTTGAAAAACAGAGAGAAGAATAGCTCTGAATTTTCATGAGTGGTCTTCGGTGATTTGGCCAAAGACCTATTGTCAGGGGTCATTTATACAGGAAAGTCACAATGTGAGTACAGTGAGGGTCTCAAACTACAATCAACCTATAAGCTTATAGCTGCTTAACTAATATTATTAATCAGGGGAACAAGTCAGCGAGAAAAGGTATGTGGAAAGAGCCAAGGCATTTTGTGGGAACAATAGGCCAGTTGTTCTGGTCATTGAGTATGGTAATTGATGCATATCTGGACTTCCTGGAGGAGGTGGTGGTAACTGTAGTACATTTCAAGCTGTTGTTTTTCTGTTCAGGAGCATGTAGACATGGTCACTGCATCTTCACCTTCAGGTCTGCCTTTCTAAAGCTGTGCCTGTAGCAGTGATTGTTGTATTTAGTTTTTTGCATTGACTCCTTGAGGTTCCATTTCCTCTCTGATTGTATATCAATTTCTGTCTATATTGACATCCTTTGCTGAAATCACAATACTATTTGAATGGATAAGGTGATGTTTATACATTTAAAAATATTCATTAATACAGGCCAGGGCTTTAGCTCAGCAGGCAGAAACGCCTTCCTGGAAAGTGCTAGGTTGTAACTTTGATACGTCGTACCTAAAAAAAAATGTAATATAAATTGCAAAGAAAGAAAATAATTTCATTCGTGAAAATGTAGGTTTACAAAGTCTATAACTAAATAGGTCAATGGCAAATTAAACCTTGTTAATAGTTATATTTAGTATCTAAAGTTGTTGGGGCTGGGGATTGAGCTCAGTGACACAAGCAGCTGCCTGGAGAGCCAAAAGTTATGAGTGCAAACCCCCATACAAAAAAAAATCACAGTTTTCAAGATGCAGGCCTATGAGCACATTTATTGAAACTGATACATGTTAATTAATAGGCTCAATGTTTCTTTTGTGGTCTAAGGAATACCTGAAGATAACATGACAATTACAGTGAATGATGTAATGTCCCCTATAAGATTGCTATTTTCTGAGTTGTTTTTATTTTTTGTTTTCCCACATACTTGACAGTTAAAAATGTTGGCTGATGCTGGGTCAAAAAACTGTGATAATCATTTTTTTCAATTTAATGGTATACTTCCCTATATCCATTAAGAACATTTTATTTGCTACAATTACTCCAAGTCAAATTGGTAAACAATTCTTAAAGTTATAGGCAGCTGAGTTAGTTAGAAATGCAGGCAGCCACACCATGATATAGTGGAATGAAACTCCTGACCTTATATGTCTGGTATGAGTTTGTGTTCTCTAAAATGCAAGAATGAATTTTAGGAACAACAGAGTTGAAGAGCAGAGTATATTTATTGAGAGAAAGAAAGTGAAAGTATTTTTCTCTAAATAGGATATTTTCAAAGTGGGAAGTGGAATCAGTGGACTTTTACCTTGAAGTCACTTTCCTCTCTCCTATTCAACTACTGTGGCCAGAAAAGAATCTCAATCAGCTACTTGCATATCACCAATGCCACCTTTAAGCACCACCCAAGTCAAAAACTATATGTATGCCTCCCACACATTTCCAGAAGAAAAAGCCAGATGCCCAGTGGTCCTGGGGTTCTATCATCTTAGAATAAAGGCCATTTTGAATTAATATTCTCTTCTTTACTACACCAAAAATCCTATCAGAAAGTTTCTGTCTGAGAGAAACAGAAGGGGTGCTGAGCTAGTAGCAAAGGACTCTGTCTTTTCTAGGGACTTTATAGAATAAAATCATGTAGTGAGATAGGTTTAAAATGGGTTAGATTACTGAGGTTACTGAGGAGATAAATTAGCACAATAGAGAAGCAGAATATAAGAAATGTAAACGTGGTCCTTTACTTAAAGAATATGGAGAGGAGCCCACAGCCACCAAGACTATGAGGCTATGCAGGGCCTCATAGCCACAATGGCTCAACTTAAACTTCAGCTTTTTTTTTCCAACTGACTAGGGGGATATGGCGTATATGTGACTTTTGACTGCATGTGGTGCTTGGAAGGGACATTTATGTCATGCCAGGAGCTGATGGGAATTTTCTTTAGGACCCTGGGGAGGAAAGAGGAAGTTGTATTCAAGGGGAAAAGAGGAAGTGACCATATGAGTAAGCACCCCTGATTTCACATTCTTCCACCTTGAACAACCACCATGAGGTCCTGTAATTGTTTCTAGGGCAAAACTCTTTCAAGTACATCCTTTGGTTTGAATGAAGAAATCAAAACAAAGAATTTTTGCTCTCTGACTGCCTCCACAGCTGGTGATAAACCATTCATAAGAAATTTTGAGTCATTTCCTTAATGCACTTTAGATTCCATAGCCAAAATTACAGATTAGTTCACTTTCAGAAAAAGAAGCAGCACTTAAAGGCAGGGATAAAGGCCTTCAATGCAATTATACCTGGCAAGGTGAGATCAACATTGTGTGATACAAACTTTAACTGATTTCTCTGACTTCAAGCAAGAGAAATGTTTATATCGATATTGCTATAGCAGAATGAATCTCCCAGTCTACTATGTTTAATATGAGGGGTTTTTTTTTCTGTAAAGTCAAAGAATGAATTTTAGGAACAACAGAGGTTAAGATAAGAATGTACTTATTGAGAGAAAGAAAGCTGCCTCAGAGAGCGAAGGAGTCCTGAGCAGGTTGCCAAACATTGTCCTTTCCAGGGAACTTTATAGAGTAAAATCATGTGGTGAAATGAGTTTAAGGTGGGGAAAACTAGAAACTCACAATGCAAATGGATATAAGATGGGAAAGAGCTATGGTACCCAATAGGATTATTAAGTTCAGGTAAAGCTGATTAAATTGGGAACAAAGGGGGAAGGGAGTCACATAGAAAGCAGGCATTCTTAGGCAGCTGTGACTCTTCCCTTAGGGGTTTGGGAGGGTGACTTCTGAGTTCCTCAGTATGATAGGAAGTATTTAGAATGTCACTCTTTAGGATAAGGATACATTTCTTTGAATGGTGACTCCTGACTTCCTCAGAGTGCTAGGGAACTATTTAGAATATCTATCCTTAGGATATGGATGAATTTGCTTATCATTGTCTTTAGCCTTGGCCCATAGCATGAGGTGTCAGTCTTCCCCATAGTTGTAAGGTATCTGGTCTCCTGCATGGGCTCCTTGGAGGACCTAGCCCTGGTTCATGCCAAGAGTATTTAAGTAACTCAGGTGCCTGTAACAGACTGTTTGGAAAACTGATTAGAGATGTCTTGTGGTCTGGGTGAATGATCTGGGGATGACAATGTGCAATGTATATACCAGTTTTGCTCCCTGATTGACATGTTTTGAAATTCAATTTTACTTGATGCGCTCTTTTTTCCTTGAAATAAAATGGATTTGAAAATTAAAAGCCTGAGGTAAGCTCTTCAGTACAAACACTGCTCTGTCGAGCTGAGTTCGCCACTGTAGAAGAATGACAGTTCCAGAAGTCTCTGCAATACAGTCTATCATTTGGGACCCTCGCTTTCAGGGAGGGGTTCCTTTCCCTGTTTATTCTTGACTCAGAAGGAGAGCAGTAGAGCAGGAGGCAATCAGTGATGAAGGGGCAGGCTATATGAACTGTCCAATCAGGCGGGCCATTGCTGGCTGTGACTTCTGTCTCTTCTGTTGTCTCAGCATGATTTATCTGTTCTGAGTACAATAGTGGTAGCAAAATGCTTGCTGGATCTCATTTAGTACGTTCGATGTCCTGTGGCCTGATTAGCAAAGAACCTGAGAGATCCTGGAACCATGGAATAGTGAGGTTGTGGATGGAAGCCCAGAAATAGGGTGGATTGGGTGAAACCAGTTACAAGTATTTAGGAGTAGTTCCAGTGTCTGCAGCCCCAGGTATTTAGTTAGCTTCAGCTTCTGAGGTCCTGCAGCATTGCCCATGGGTCATTCACTGTCCCTTTTGCCTCTTGCTATTGGCAAGGGTGATTTGGAGGTCCCCAAACCCCTGGCTTCACTATGAGAGCAGCAGACTCAAGTATCATCTTTCAAATTCATTGCTAGCCTGGTAACTCCACCATCTTAGGCATTGGAAGGAGCTTGGGAAGACCCTGACCATGATGATTTGTAGCTTGTAGAGCAGTAATGAACTTGGTCTCTGCTCTCTTTCCTCAGAGTAGCAGATCTGGAATGTCTGGAATTTATTAATGTCTGTAATATGTGGCCTCATAGCCACAATGGCTCAACTTAAACTTGGCTTTTTTGTATTTATAGTGATCTCCTTAAATTATAGTATGTTCTCATATTTCCATCCTCAGGACAGGTAGTGACAAAGGTCCTGAGAATTCAGGGATTTGTAGTAGTGTGCCTCAGTGGAGAAAGGCTTCCCAAACACCTGGTGAACTCCTGTGTATTATACAGATCAGTGCAAAATAATTTCTGAGCATACTTAATAATTTAGGTGGCAACCCCGCTCACAGTCTAGGTTTGTAAGAAAAGCCATAGAGTTTTGAAGTCTGAGAAAAATGAAGCAAATATGAAAGTGTTATCAAGGACAGGGTAAATATTTGTGAAAGACAAATTCCAGAAAGGGCTACCTGTTAAATTCTCATCGAAAAATCCCAAAATTTAGGCATTTGCATGGACATATACACGTGATATCCTTCTGAATGGAAAGGAATAGGGGTGTCATCTCTAAGTTAAGAGCTGATTTAGTAGCTTGGTTGTTCATAGACAGTTTAAATATATAGATGCTCTGCAATGGACTTATCTAAGTGATGTAAATGAGAAGCCCTAAATAGAAATTTGGCAGTGATATCAATTAGTTAGGCATGAAGGGTTTTCTGCTTAGGATGGATCAGAGGAGTATGGAAAGGATGTGGAAGTGACTGACAGGAGAGGATGCAGGAAGCAAATAGCAGGACATACAACAGTGAGGGTCTTCACTGAAAGTCAGGTAGTTCTTAGAGAGTAAGTATGAAGTAAAGTTGGATTCTGATTGCTTCATTGAGGTGATCAACACCAGCTCTGGCAACAATCAGTATTCCACAACCCTGTCAACCCATTATTTTTGTGTTCCATACTTGAGATCTAATTTTGATTAGCTCTAATTATGCCCCAGGGTCATGAAAGTGAAATTTGAATTTTTTTTTGTACCAAGGATCAAACTCATGACCTATGCTTTCCAGGCAGGCGTTCATGTCACTGAGCTAAATACCCAACTATGAAAGTGTTTTCTGTGTAGTATGGAAGATATCCACATTGTTCCTCAGAAAGTGTTGTGTATTGTTGGAATTTTTCTGTATTGTGTGCCTATAATGTTTTAAAACAAACCAAAGATATCTTATGCAGTCTCTTTTTAAGTTTCACTTTGTTCGGTGTCTCAGTCAGGGATTGTCTATTTTAGACAGCTCTGTAACTTAGGATAGCCCCAAATTCAAGGAAGATGTCCTTCACCAGCCTCCCAAGATATATTTCTTATATTTGAATTGAAAGTGATCACTTGGTAACAGTGAGGTATAATTTACAGCTTGGGCCTGGTTTCATTTTATATACATATTTTAAAAATACAGCCATTTTCCACTAACACTTGAGTTATTATTTATGTACCATATTTGATGTTATTTATGTTTTGTTCTATGAAAGCAAATTAATGTTTCAAAATTCTGCTTAAGTATATTAAGAACAAAATACTCATTGGCTTAAATGAGATTTGAAGAGACATCATCTGTAGTCTATCAAAGTGATTGATGAGATTTTTTTTTGAATATTGAAATTGGTAAAATACAACAGAACAAGGCAGCATAAGGCCAACTAAGATCACAGTGAAATTGGTACACAACTTCACAACAGGTTACTGGGATAACAGTAATAGGTATCACAGTATATTTTGTTATCTTTGTAATAGTTGTTCTTTAATCACATATATCAAAGTGAGATGAAATACAGAATGTTATAGAACTTATCCAAACAGAATATTGAATGGAGCAGTACCATTAATCAGAATAGAGTGAAACAATAATAAAAACATTTTCCTTAAAAGAAATAGTAGAAGGAAGTCCCCCTTATTTGCTATGGTCAACTTCCCAGGAGATGCTCAGATTTCTGGTTCCCATTTGCTAATGGTGGGGGGTGACAGGAGAAGAGGGGTAGGGAAGTGGGATGTTTGATTCTAGGTGGTGCATCAGTAGGTTCACTATTGCTTACTAGGGAGACAGGCTGGTTGTTTGGTTTCACAGCATCCTAAGTTTCAACATAGCATGGATCTCAGGAGCTGCTGCTGGTTCTCCCCCTGGAAGGGCTGCAGTCTGACAGACTGCCACCACTTACCAGGGAGAAGTGGTGCTTGACTGGCTTCCCAGTGTCCTAAATTCCAGGTTGGCATGGATCTCAGGAGCTGCTGCTGATTTTCCCCCTGGAAGGGCTGCAATTTGCCAAACCACCACTGCTGACCGGGGAGGGGAGATGCTTGCTTGACTTTCCAGTCAATTGATGGGATATTTATCTGCCTCTGTGCTTTGTGCTTGCTGGTCCTGCAGGCTTCTCACTGTGAGCTCTGCTTTAGAGACAGTGCAAGGGGAATCTTGCCATGATTCAGCACAAGAATCAGTGCTCTTATTTGGCTGTTACATTAGCAGTGAGTTGCAATCTAGTATCAAATTTGCTGTCTTCAAAAATGTTGTTGATGACCCTGTACTCTGTTCTACATCATGTGCTATGTCTATCCTTGGTTTGGACTTACAGCTTTGTTTTGCCATATTTGACTTTATTATCTCCCCCCCAAGAGAGTAATGAGAACTGAGGAGTAATAAAATCCAAAATGTGTAAATTTTGTTATAAAAAAGAGAGGGAGGGGAAAAAAAAAAGAGCTCTAACGGATATAACAACAAGTGTGTTTAGGGATGTTAAATAGCTGACTATATTAATGTTTTTGGATCATTGAACACAGCTGTTTGCAGTCTCTCCGTTTGAATGTCTACTTTGTATTCTTTGATACTGTGATTTGAGCAACTATTTCCAAGATGATATTATGTAATCTATTAACAGGTGATTTCTTACTGTTATGTTTATTTTTTTTTGTAGTTCTGTATTATGTGTAAACTTACACTGCTTTGCCTTGTTTTGTGTTTTTCTCTTTTTCCTCTTAAATAAAAAAAAAAAAAGGAAACAAAAATGTGTATATACACAAAATTAATGACCAAGACATGGATTAAAATTGGAAGAAATCAGTCTTCATTCAGCTGTTTTGTTTGGTTGTATTTGTTTAGTTTAGTTTTGTTTTATTGAGACAAGCTTTCTGTATGTATATCAGGTGGATTTGAACACCCTATGGAGCCTAGAATTGCCCTGACCACACTGATGCCATCCTGTCTCAGCCTTTTGAGTGCTGGGATTATAGATATGCACCACCACACTTTGCTTTTGATTCAGATTTCTAGGAGAAAGTTTAAGATATCCCAAACCTGGGGTCTCAACCTTCCATTGAGAAATATATGTATGATCCTTTAGGAGGTGTTGACCTTTGAGGATGTGGTCGTGAACTTCAGCAATGAGGAGTGGACTTTGCTGAGTCCATCCCAAAAGAAGCTCTACAGAGATGTGATGGGCGAATCCTTTAGGAACATGACTCTGATAGGTAAGGATAAAATCTTTTTGCCCCTCATGCTGTCAGAATATTGTTTCTTGCTCATTAGTGCTGTTTCATGAAAAAGAATATGAAAATATTTTTAAAAATATCTCACACCTGGACACATTATATCATAAATCTAAACAAAACCTATTAATTTGTATGTATTACTCTAAAGAGTCCTGGTATTTCTATGTCTACAATTCAGGAGGACTCTGGGATATCCAGGAAGCTGAAAAAGAAGGCAAAATTTACTGGAGCTACTTAAGGTAATTCGCACTCACAAGGAGAGGAATGTTCCTCAGTAATTAGTGAGTAGCAGAAAAATGACAACCAAAGAAAGAGACACCATTCAATTTAATGTCAGTAATATTCTCTGAAGATGTATAAGCTAGTGTATATATGAGCGAATTAAATCATGAAAATGTATGACATTGCATATAGATGAATACAAAGAGGATACACTTTGAGTTGCCTTCAGTTTTTCTACCCATGTCTACATGTGAATATAACACATTCATTATCTAACAATTGCTAAGATTGCAATAGAATTTGAAATAAAACTGAGTGCTCATGTTTCCAAGACATTCTCTAGAGAATCAGCCATTCTGATTAATATTCTTAGTAGGCTGGTGGAATGTTATTGCACTCATTTTGAATATCAGTATGCAGTTGTCTCTAGAAATTGATCCCCTCACACTTGTCCTGGATATTTTTAAAATCTCAAATCCTCATAAAATACTGATACATGCTTACTCATATACAAAGCAGATTAAGTTATAACAGATCAGGCCTTGAAGCTTATCTATCTATCACTGGATTTGTGGAGAAGGAAAATATTAATAGACTCTCTGTGATTGTGCATTCTTGTAAACCCAGCACACTAGGAATCAGATTTTGCAGAATGGCAATTTCAAGTTCAAACTTCACAGCTTAATGATCAGCGAAAATCTCTTAAAATAGATTTTTAAAAAGCTACAGATTTTATGCTAATACCTGTTGTTCATTCCCAGCCCAGAAAAGAAAATATGTGTTATATAATGTCAAAAAATAAATAATATAATGTCATTTGCCATAAGAAATAGATGGGTCTTTCACCCATCAATTCAGTGAAATAGCTCAGCTATAAAACATAAAAGGTCACAGGGTTTCTTTTAGATGAGACACCAAAATATAAATTGTGGAATGTAATGAAAGAAAGTTGATAGAGAAAAGTAAGACTGACAATATGGAAAAGGGAACTACAGGTTAAGGACAGAAGGGAGATTGGAATGGGGAAACATATCAGAATAATCTGTATGTGATACACATATGTGCCCATGCCCAAAGTGAAGCTAAAGATTCTGCATTTCAAAGTACCAAGTTTTAAGATTTCTAAATGTATGCCAGTCTTTTGGGAATGGTTGTTTTCAACATATCTTACAAGGCCATTCTGTTGCTTCATGGTCAGAATTTCTTAGCAGGCATTAAAAACAGAACTTGACATTAATGCAGTCATTAAACAGAGACCCATTTCACTGTGAATTTTTCTTTTTTAAATTTATATAAGGAAAGATTAAACAAAACAAAATAAGTAGAGATAATGCTAATTTCAAAGTGAAAGTAAACAGTAAGAAATCGCAAGATGATGATTACATATGGTGCTCATGGAAATAGATATGAAATACAAAAGTGAAACATATGAAGTGGGGATTCAAACAGCGAGACTGCAAAAACTTAGTAATATGGTTATAAATCTTATATGTGATTTTTTTCTTTACAGAAATGACAAGCTAGGGAAATCCTATGGACATACATCTGGAGATGTATGGAATCAGTGTAAAGAAGTCTTCCTTGGTACTGAAGAAGGTAATGTGAATGTGAAAGAAACAGAAACACATGACAATGTTCAGATCCATGAAAAATATTGCAGTGGAGGGAAACCCTATGTATGCAAGCAATGCGGGAAAGGTTTAACCATACTTGGAATTTGTAAGAAACGTGAAAGAATTCACAGAGGAGAAAGACCCTACGTATGTAATCAATGTGGGAAAGCTTTTACAACACGTACATATTGTCAAGTACATGAAAGACTTCACTCTGGAGAAAAATGTTATGAATGTGAGCACTGTGAGAAAGCTTTCAGCACACACACTTATTGTGTAATCCATGAAAAACTTCACACTGGGCAGAAATCGCATATATGTAAGAAATGTAGGAAAGCTTTTAGCAGTAAAATTCATTTTCAAATACATGAAAATGTACACAATGGAGAGAAACCCTATGTGTGTAAGCAATGTGGAAAAGGTTTCACCCAACTTGGACCTTGTAAGGAACATGAAAGAATTCACACGGGAGAGAAACCATATGTTTGTAAGCAATGTGGGAAAGCTTTTAACACATGGGGAGACTGTAAGAGACATGAAAGAATTCACACTGGAGAGAAACCATATGTATGTAAGCAATGTGGGAAAGCTTTTAACAGACGGGGAGTTTGTAAGAGACATGAAAGAATTCACACTGGAGAGAAACCGTATGTTTGTAAGCAATGTGGAAAAGCTTTTACCCAAAATGGACATTGTAAGAAACATGAAAGAATTCACAGTGGAGAGAAACCATATGTATGTAAGCAATGTGGGAAAGCTTTTAACACATGGGGAGACTGTAAGAAACATGAAAGAATTCACAGTGGAGAGAAACCATATGTATGTAAGCAATGTGGGAAAGCTTTAAAAACACAGGGAGATTGTAAGCAGCATGAAAGAATTCACACTGGAGAGAAACCATATGTATGTAAGCAATGTGGGAAAGCTTTTAACAGAAGGGGAGTTTGTAAGAGACATGAAAGAATTCACACTGGAGAGAAACCATATGTTTGTAAGCAATGTGGCAAAGCTTTTAACACACGTGCAAACTGTAAGAGACATGAAAGAATTCACACTGGAGAGAAACGATATGTATGTAAGCAATGTGGAAAAGCTTTTAGCACACGGGGAGATTGTAAGATACATGAAATCATTCACACTGGAGAGAAACCATATGTATGTAAGCAATGTGGGAAAGCTTTTAACAGATGGGGAGTTTGTAAGAGACATGAAAGAATTCACACTGGAGAGAAACCATATGTTTGTAAGCAATGTGGCAAAGCTTTTAACACACGTGCAAACTGTAAGGGTCATGAAAGAATTCACACTGGAGAGAAACCCTATGTATGTGAGCAATGTGGAAAAGGATTCACTAGTTCTGGACATTGTAAGCAACATGAACGCATTCACACTGGAGAGAAACCATATGTATGTAAGCAATGTGGGAAAGCTTTTACCAAACATGGATATTGTAAGAAACATGAAAGAATTCACACTGGAGAGAAACCATATGTATGTAAGCAATGTGGGAAACCTTTTAGCACATGGGGAAATTGTAAGAAACATGAAAGAATTCACACTGGAGAGAAACCCTATGTATGTAAGCAATGTGGGAAAGCTTTTAGCACATGGGGAGGTTGTAAGAAACATGAAACAATTCACACTGGAGACAAACTCTTACGCATGTAAATAATGTGGGAAAGCTTTTAAAATGCAGTGTAACATAAGAGACTAGACTAATATCACTCTGAACAGTGAATAATAGTATCCTGAGAAGGAGAAAGGTGAGGAATTGCCTAAAAATAGAAGGCAGAGGACATTGTTAAAAGTGTATCAGGATTTAAAATCTACAGTAGTCTTGTTGCTCTATTTAGTTTGGTTATATTTTGTTCTTGTCTGTCTACTCATATTAGATTTGAGGGCACACAGAGATAACCCAAAAATAGCAGGTTATACCATGGTAACTATCCTTAATTTCCTATTAACTAAAACTGAAACCCTATATTACTTACATTGTCTTCTATGACTGATCTTCTTTGAAGCTGGTTTGTTTGAATGTTATTTGGCCTTGACTGATTTTATTCACTGTGGGTATGCTTGCTAGTATCAAGTTCAAGAGAAGAGGCAACTTCTCAGAAGATGACAAGATGTAAAAGATATCCATTGGTGGGCTGGGGATTTAACTCAGTGGCTTAAGCACCTGCCTGGCATGTGTGAGGTCATGAGCTGGATCTCCAGTGCCCAATAAATAAATAAATAAATAAATAAAAGATATCCATTCCAGGTTTGATTATTTTTTAATTAAAGAGAACAAAGATAGGAAATAAAAAACAAAGCAGTAAAAGGGTACAAGTAATACAGAATTTCAAGAAAAAATTCAGTAAGAAATCACTAGTTAATAGGTTACATCTTGTCACCTTAGAAACAGTTGTCCAAATTATAAAATTAAAGCATATAAAGTGGACATTCATACAGTGAGATTGCAGAAAGTTCTGTTCAATGATCCAACAAAAGCTCAGTAATATGGTTTTCCATCCTACACACTCAAGCATGCAGTTATATCCCTTAGACCACCTTCCTTTTCTCTCTTTTTTACAATAACAATTACACTTTTTGAGTTTTTTTTACTCCCACAGTTCTTATTACATTTTTTTGAAGAGAATAAATCCTAACATGACTAAATAAAACAGAGTTGGTTAGAACAGAAGGGTGGGCATAGGACATGATGCAAAAATAGAGTATCAGATGATCACAAATGGTTACCATTGTGCCTCTTGCTATTTTTAAAAAGAGTTTCCTATATCACCAGGTATAATAGAATTGATCAAAACAGTACAGAACAAGACCAATAAAACCTAGACTGGAGACCTTACAAGATTTCAAAAGAAGATAATAGTCAAACTATAATGGGTATCATAGTAAATCTTATTTCCTTCAAAGTGGTTGCCTATACCCTCAAACTTGATACTATCAAACAAAAAGAATATAGTAAAATCAGAGAGAACAAGATGGGGAGAGCAATACTGGGGTTCAAATCAGGTTAATAGGAAAACAAATAGTTACTATAATATATCTCAATATTTTTTAATTTAGTTTTCCCTTAATTGAAAAAAAACGAAAAATAGTTTAATTTTTAAAAAAAGGATGGAGATTGAGATAAAAGAGGACATTGTAATACAACAACACTTGTCAAAATGGAACAATTTAAGCATCATTGTATTTCACTCCCAGATAATCTAACATAATAGTAGTCAAAATAGTGCCTCATTCCTTGAATTATTTGAGTATAAGTTTGTATACTATAGCATCAAGCATATCAAGACAGTGTGAAGCCATTCAAGAGAATGAAAGAATTACAGGGTATTTAGAACCAGTTAACAGAAAACAAAAAATGGTTTCTATATTATCTCCTTGCCTCTAAAATTTTTCTTTATACTATCACATATAGTAAAATATAGTAAGATACAACATGTTAAAACCAGTGGAAACAGATAGTTTGTGAGAGAGGGATCATACTTGCACCACTGAGATTAGCCCAGTATTGATCATGTTAGTTAATTTTGAATATGCTTGTTAGTTAACGTGGCAAACATTAAGCTGAACACGTTTCTGTATGTTTGGTAGGAATATTAGCCAACAGAGTGTTTTCATTTATATTATTTTAACACATTATTATCTGGCTTCATTCTCAGAATTATTTTGTCACATAAAAGAAGTTGGTGGTGGTTTTTCCTTCAACTTGATTGAAGAATTGAAAAACAATCAGTATTTATTCTTTATTAAATACTGGATAAAATTCACCGGTGCACTTATTGTATACCAGCTTTGTTGTTGTTATTAAGTAGCTGTGATTTTTACACATTGTCTGTGCTCCTTATTGCTCAGTTCATCAGACTATTTCCTTCTGATGCATGTGGTTTGGGGACATCAATGGACACCACATATCCATTAAGGGTCACATCTCATTTTACTTACGGATGCTACCATTTACTTTTGTATCTTCAAGCTATCTCTATAATATATAATTTTGTGAGTAACTCCTTTCAGTTACTCAGATTTAATACACATTCTTGCAGGATGTGGTTACTGCTGGAGGAAACTGGGCCTGGTGAGGGCCTGGTCTCTTATTTAAGGCTTCATACCCTGACCTGCCTGCAGTATCCCCATCTCCTGACCTGCTCCCTGTAAACACCTGTCCTGCTCCATAGCTATGGTGAGTCCACATGTGGCAGTTCAGATCTGCATCTGGGTGGAAAACATTCAGTCAGGTTGGGCTCTGTAACAGACTGACCTTCTCATACAGAGCTCCCCTGAGTGAGAGAGGGGGCCTCAGGCATGTAGGGAGGAGCTCTGGAACCATTCCAGCTCTCTCCTGTCCAACGTGCAGTGTGTGATGCTTTCCTGAGAACTTACTCAAGGATGAGGTGGCCTGCACCTGGGCCTTTTTTAGCCATGGTTCCTGCTAGGTGCCATTGTGTCCTGCACCTCTGCCTGGACCATCTCTCTGACTTTAGATCTCCACATAGATCTGAGCAGACTCAGTCTTCCTCTACCAGGCTCTATCTTTATGCTGAGGCTTCAAGTGTAAAATCTGCGACCCTCAAGCTCATCTTATATACATTTAACCTGGAAATTTCACTTCTAGGGGTCATTATAAAAATGACATTGACAGACACCTTATTCTCTTCTTAATCAGTTAAGGAGTGGACTGTTAGAAACAATGAATGTTCCACAGCACAGCTCCTGAGTTAATTATAAATTACAGCCACTGAAAATGCTGAAAGAAGGTCATGTCCCTGATCTTTCCTGAGATGGAAGAGAACTTGTGTCCTGGCTCTCTCTCCACCCAGCAGTGAAGAGACACAGGCCTGCACAGCAAGTGAGGACAGGAGAAAGGATCTGGTCAATGGCAGACCTGTCATCTTGGGAGGGATGCCTTTGGGGTTTTTCCATTTTATTTTTCACTGCATTATTTATAGTGCTCCATTCAGTATTACTTCTGTTCAATTCACTTAAGAATAAATAGTTGGTATTTTCTTGAATAGGTAAGTGGAAATGGATGACTTAGTATTCTTTTATATGTAATGTAGGATATGCATATAGAAGAACATTCAAGCTTCACTTTATAGTTACATAAAATAAGGAGTCTTTTTATTCAGAAAGGAAACACATCATTCATGACTAACTTTTAAACCCCCAAGATATGAAGCCATGCGAATCCCGCTGTGGTGTGTGTCCTGCCCTCCCTACCTGAGAAGTCACTGTGTTCATCTGTGTCTCATAGAGGACACCCAGAATCTTCTTCAGAGTTTCTTTTTCCAGCAAGGAGGACTTGAATCTTCCTGTGCTCAGGCCAAGCAGGGAGTGTGCAGCATGCAGAGGAGCCCAGCACCTCCTGCCTTAAACCCATTTCCACCACCGCATCCATGCTGCAGCCCTGCAGGACCAATAAGGCAGAGCCACCAGGGTGCAGCAAAGACTCTGCCACCTCAGCCCCAGGGGCCTCAACTCCTGGGTCCTGGCCTCAGCCTCCACCAGGCTCCAGGCTCTGCCATGGATTGGACATTCTTAGTGGGCCAGACACACCTTCAGTGCCTTGGTGCAAAGTCCATTTTCCACACCAAGCCTTCCATTCTGCAAATTTTGATCCATTCCTTGCTAAATGAGGCTGAGGCATTGGAGACAAAACCCCACAAATTGGCATTACTTTTTGTTTTGTTTTTTTTCTTTTCCTTCTTCTTCTTCTTCTTCTTCTTCTTCTTCTTCTTCTTCTTCTTCTTCTTCTTCTTCTTCTTCTTCTTCTTCTTTTTCTTCTTCTTCTTCCTCGTCCTCTTCCTCTTGCTCTTTGTCTTCATCTTTTTTCTTCTTCCAGGTTTCTTTGATGCTTTAAATAAGTATTTAGAAGTGCATTTAGCCAAAAAACTTTCCTTGTCTTTTCACACCCCAGTTAACTGAAATTTTTAAAGATTTCTGCTGCAGTTCACACCCTATGTGTTTGAACACTCAGAATCCATTCTGCAGCTTAGTAGAATGAGGGAAGCAAAGCAGAAAGTGAACTTGAGGATGTGACTGTGCCTTCTAAGACTCCAACTCATATCTTTTTACCTCAAAAATATGTGCTTCCGTAGCAGCTGAGTCTGGCACAGACAAAATGAGTTTCCTGCATGTATATCAGACTATCTCATTTCCTCTCAAGCACATTGTATCAGGTTTCTTATGGCCAAACTTGAAGAATTATTTCCAGTACATGAGGCTGCCACTGGTCCTGAAATCATGATGGAACTTTTTGTAAACACTTAGCCTGATCTACACCCTGGGACAGAAGCTAAAAGAGGCAGAGATGGCTGGCACAGATAGAAACACCTCAAAATTGTCAACCAACAGCAGCAGCAAGCAGGAACCAAGTTGCTGAGCTTTCACAATTGGGTGATGGAATCATGTGGTGGATTGTTCCCTGGGTTTACTGAGGCAACTCAGTACATCTAGGTTGCTGCTTCCATCCCCTATCCTTCAGTGCAATACAAACAGAAAGTCATGCACATGCATCATTTATTTGCAATTTTTCTATTCCAGGAACAAAACCTGTATTCATGAGAGTCCACATCTCTGCCATAGCAGACCCACCCACGGGCATTACCACAATGTCTTGTAAAGGATCACTTTATTTATACAAAACGCAGAGCAATGCTCCCAGCCTTGATTTTTCCAGACTGGTGCATTTTCAGTCATTTCTTGAAGGGAAGCTAAACGATTTAGTTTGAGTAAACCAAGTGTGTTGCTGTGCTTCTGTGTGACATCCTTGCTGCCAGACCTGATGAAGGCAAAGAGTGGGATCCGCTGGAGGTTTAGCTCCAGAGGGACATACTTAGCACAGCTGTGTCAGGAAGTGCTGCCCCTCACCTGACTGGCCACCCAGGTTTTCAAATGCCCTTTCCCAGTGCTGTTACTGGCTTCGGGAGTCACTGGATTGCAGTGGAGATGCCCAGTGCGCTGGTTGGCCCAGGGAAAACCTTGTTTTGGCATGAGTTGGTCATCGTTAGCCCTGCAGATCTGTTGCCCTGGGGCCAGGGCAAGGTTCCCCCAGCTGCTGTGAACAGCATCATCCAGACAACTCTCCTGTGCACACTCTATGCAGAGGCTAGGGAGGGTCCCAGTTCCTTCCTGCTTCAAAGAGTACTGTGAATCAAACTCTTGAAAATTTGTGCAGCATTCTGTGTGGGAGAAAACTCTATTCTTAGTCCCAGGGAAGGCTGTTC